CCAATTTATGACTCTGCAGTGTGTAGTGTGGAGGAACAATGAATTGCTTGTTTTCCAATAAATGGTGGAATCATGGAGTGAGAGAATCAGTATTTTTCAATGCCTTCCACCATCTGCCTTGAATGCAAGTTTGGCTTGCATCGTGATGTTGGCAAGTGAGATTTGAACTATCCTGATCAGTTTTATTTTAAAAATGTAGAAGACATTTGGCTGTCTGATGCAGTGGGTAGTAGCAATATACTTTGTAGTACTGTAGTGAAAAAATAAGCATGAAAGCCAGCATGGGCTGAAATCTGAGGGTGTTCTTCAACCCACAACACAGAACTCAGGAAAATTAGGTTTGGCTTGAAGTTTTTGAGAGTGTAAATACACCGTGACAGTAGATGGTACAATATGGTCAAGTATCCCTGCAAAAGTCTTATACCTGGATGGACCTAAACATAGTACAAAAATGCTATGAAGTTTTTGTTCAAAAGTGTTTTGATGTGTGTTTCTGGTATAATTTTCTAAATAGTAAACTCCAGTCACTTTTATTGAAAATATCCAAAAGCCACAGTGCATATAATACTAAAAAAAAATAATATTTCAAAAGCATTTTTCTGCTAAAGAAATATGCGACCAAATCTAGAGCTGGTGTTCTGTTATCTGACATGTATTTTTTATGGTTTTGTGAATTACATTTATTCTGGGTCTGTGAAAAGTAAAAGCTGTCATAATTCATACTCCTTTATGTTAATAGCTTGATATCTCTATTGTACCCACCATGTACCTTTTGAAGGTATATACAGGTGCATATCTGTAAGTACTCCCTATGATAGCAAAAGTGGATTATTGTTGCCCAAGAATAAATGGGGTTTTACCTTCCCCATCCTGAGGACACACCACATGTTCATTGTTGTGTTCTGACCAGCCATGTATACTTTTTCCTATTGGGCAGAGCTGGATGAGAGTGGAGGGCTGGCAGAAAGCTCTGCTTCCCATGGGAGCTTCATCTCCAGCAGAGAGGCTGCTGTGGGTGGGGAGACTGGCTAGCAAAAAAACCTGGGCAAATAGAAGAACAGCATCATGTCACGTAGAGACTGATCCACACCTAGTGACCAAATGTGGTGTTTAATCAGAGCTTTCTGTTGCTTTTTTGGCTGTAGGCCTGTATTATATTTATGATTCAGAAAGCGTTTCTGAATATACATGTTAGTTTGGGTCATTGCTGTGGTCATTGTGTGACAAGAATGAACACAGTACCAGTTTTCTTGTGACCCACAACTACCACAAAATTCATATCAGTTTAAAAAAATATGCCCAGAATATCCAGAATGTTTAGAGAGTGATGGCAGATGTGAAGGCCTTCACTTTCTGACGGCTCTGCAATGTAACATGAAGAGCCTGACAAGGTTCTGGATCCTACCCTGCACTAAGGTGCAGTTAGAAAACTTTTTGCACTGAGAACATTTCTCTTAAATATTCTAACCACCTGATTAATATTTATGCTTTCTTGGACTTTTTTTTTTTTTTTTTAATGTATTTTGGAATCCATGAGTTTGTGGCAGTCGGTTCAGATGGTGGGAAATCTGACTGGGGAGGTTGCAGACCAGGCAGTTGAGCTCTAATTAGCAGGAACATGTAACTAAAATTCAAGCAGATGTGGCTTGAGCAGGTGGTACTTGCTGAAAGCATTTAGTGTGCTGGGTGTACCCACTGTCTGAGATGGATACAAATAAATACTCAGTCTGCAACTGCGAAATGTACTTGTGCATATGCTGAGCAGTTGGTCTGTGCTGGTGCTGTGCACTCACCCGGTGCTGCTGAAACTGCCACATCTCAGCTCTCAATGGACCAAAACGAGTTCTGAAATCCTGGACATATGTAAACATTTTTAAAACTCAGCCTGAGCAAAATTTGTGGCTAGGAAAAAAGACATATGCTTGGAAGTCTATAAATATAATAATCCTATATGATGTTTCTCTTGGATTCTCTTTTTTTTCTGCTTCCAGCTACTGCTGGAAACAACACATTAGACAACTTTGATCTCATGGAGCTTTGCAAAAAGTGTTCTCTGGTGAATCATTGCGACTCCTAAATTTTGAAAACAACTACTCAGCTGAAAAATCATCCCATGAAAATTACAAAATTATAATTGTTCTTAGTTCTTACCCAAAATTCTAGTAATTGCTTTATCAACATTTTTTTTGTTAATTGGGGAAAAATAAACAAAACCAACCAAACAACAGCAACTAAAAAATCTTAGTCAAAATCGTGTTACACAGTTAAATTATTCCATCTTTTTATTGTTAGTGGCCTATTGTGCTTTTCCCGTATTCTTTGAGTGGTGTTCCACAGTGTCCCAGTACCAGTACCTTGTTCCCTTCTTGAGCAAGCTGAGTTGTAAAAAGTGCTGTTATAGCAGATGACTTCCCATTAAGTTGCTTCAGCTCCATGTTCCCCATGGTTATGAATTTGAAAATGAAATATCTGTGTTTTGTGTGTGTGTAAGTGTGCATGTGTTTATCTTTTATAGTCAGCTGTTAAAGATTGGCTTTTTGAATCTGCAGAGGCTACTGAAAATCTGGCTTTATACAGATGTGCCATCAGTTTATTCAGATTATTTTTGTAGCTTTAGAACTTTGAACCTTCAACAGTGATGGGCTCCTGCTCTCCACTGTCCAGGACATTCAGCTGACCAGGCAGTAATGCAAGACGTAGTCTTGTTGTTTACAAAGAAAGCCTAGGAATGTGTTGTTTTAAACATTCCCTTGATCTTGTCATCATATCAAAGTGGAGTATGTCCCATTTTGATGTACATTAGTTCAATATCTGATCCATATTAGAAAGTAAAGGAAAGTAATTTGTAGAAAGCTCTTTGAGAGCATCCAATAAAGTCACAGTATTATTTAGACTATTATTGTTATATTTATAAACATAACTTCTAACTTGAGACCAAATCTTAAGCCCACGGTGGCTCCACTACAATAAATTATACAGATTTACAACAGCTGCAATGTGCCCACTAACTTTGTGGTTATTCCCATTGACTGAACCTGAACAAGTAGCTGAAGCAAGTATCTTTTTAGTTTCAGTAAGGAAATAAAAATTTTGGCTGACATTATTAAAGGCAGTATTGTAAATGGGACTTGGTAATCACATTGGTATTGATTCCGACTGAGTATGTAGCTGCTTGCAAAAGTGAGAAACATAATCATCCCAGGGGCCTGTTTCTTTCCGCTGCTTAAGTCTTACTACTATGAATCTCAGTGCCCTGGGTGGCACTTTTAGGGAAGCAAGTTAATTGACAATTTGTAGAGAAGGACTACGAAGTGCACATGAAGTGCTGTGATTTTTCAGGATGAACTGTCAGACAAGCTTTAAGCTTTTCTGAATTTGGTCTGGTTTAGGAAATACTGTTTTTACATGTTATACTTGTTATCCAAGTAGTATGTAATAAAAATGAATTAAAGTACCTCTGACTTTGTCCCCGCAGTTGACAGAATTATATCAAAGGCCAAGTGTGAGTCAGTCATTTTAAGAAATATTAAATAAATAAATCTTGCTGGTGATGTTCATAAGGTTTATCAAAGTAGTCTAATATGTGCTGGTTTATTGTACTATAATGTGTGCTCATATTTTCAATTTGATTTCAACATGCTATAAAGAAATTATGGAGTAAATAGTGAGTGTGCTCATTCCTTTAACTTAATCAGATATGTTGTCACAAAAGTTTCAAAGACATGCTTATTTAATTATGAAGTAGAAAGTAACTTCTATTGCTAAGGGAGTAATTTGCTTATTGTATCATCTTCTTCAATGCTTAATTCCTTTTCTTGTAACTGAATACTTCCTGTTGAAATGTGTCATAACCTTTTTGGCCTGGAATAAGTTTGTTGCAATTATTTATTCTACTAATGTTGCTGTCACCTGAGGGAAAGGCAGATATTCTGTTAATGATTATGTTAATCAAACAATGTTTTATATTTCTGCACTGCCCAAGTTTATGTCATTGCATTAGCAGGCACAGGAGATGAAACTGAAAACTTGTAATATACTAGAGATTAGATTAACTTGTCTGTTTTGTGTAGACTGCTGTAAGACTTACTTTGGATAATTTGAAAAGATTAAATCTGTAAGACAGGGTCTCTGAAGCCTTCAGCATAAGTCTTGTGAAGATTTTAAACTTCATGCACTAATAACTTTGCTATTGTAATGCAGACTGGGATACAACATACTTCTTAAAGAATTCTTGCATGTTTTTTAAGTCCTTTGGAATAATGATTCCATCTGTATAATGATGGGCTTTAGACATTTGTTTATAGGTATTATATAATGTTTGAGCCATTTCTAGGCTGTATTAAGTATTATAACTTCACTTTTTGCTTTTTTTAAGGTTTTGATTTTGTCTAGGCAGCAAATGTTTTCTTCCTAAAGATCTCTTGAGCTATAAGAGTTTTCTTGGAGTTGAGAAGGGAATCTTGGTGCTTGCTTTCTTTCTGTCTTTAAGCTTTCCTTGGCAGAGTTCTCCCTGGGCTTAGTGCAGACCCCAATGGAAGCAGCACCTGGACCTTCAGCCAAGTCTGTCCTGCCTACAGCTTGGCCATTGCTTTTCATGTGTGCAAGACAGATAGTGTATTTTTGAGGTTCTATTTAAGGACCCTAAAGCATCTAAGTCAGTGTCAGTATCTCTGTGCTTGGAATTCAATACCTCTATGATCCTTAGACTTGTTTCTTAGTCCTGAGAGCTCCACCAGGAAAAAAAAAAAAAAAAATCCTAAAATGCAGCTAATATTATTTTTTAATTATTTTTCACTGTATTTGAATTGTGCTTTTTATTTGAATAATGGTGCTTTTAATTTTTGCCCTCTTTTGCTTAAATAAGTGGGGTTTTTTGTATGTTCGTTGCCATGTTATGAATCAAAATATGAACTCATGCTTACTCAGGTACGAGTGTCATGGTGGGAACAAACTAAAACTGTGTCTACTTATGTTGTTTTTTGTTGTGTTTTTTTTTCCAGAGATTTGTTACAGTTCCCTAGAGAAGATGATGTAGACATTGCAATGAAAATTCTGGTTCAATGGACTTCCCAAAGCCTTGAAGATGTCCAGGTGGTAAATTACTCTGTTTTGCTTGACCTACCTGGCTCTTCTTCAAACACAGTAACTCTGAAAAACAGTGGTGAATGCTTTTATCCTAGTGGACAACAGTGCAACAGAGAGACCAAAATGCTACATGGCCACGACCTTCTCTACTCATATGCAGCGTACTCTGCCAAAGGAACTCTTGAGGTAATATGACTATTTGTCTCTGTCATTTGTGGTCAAATACAGTTGGAGAAGATCAGCTTTTGTTGAACTCAGCTGGCAAAGTGTGCATGGTGAAATGCTCAGCCTTAAAATAAACATCTTGAAGTAAAATAGAATGTGGCCAATCTCAGTGCAAACTTAAAAATTAGTCAGACCTGAACACTTCATGTGATTTTATTTTTTTAAGCATCTGATTTTACAAATTGGCATTTTCTGTTGCTTGTGCTTGTGTGTAAAAATCTGAAAGCTGTGTCTATTGCTGCATTTTATCCTTGTTGATATATAAGTGCTACTGGTTTGAGTGATACCTGTAGGAAAGGTAACATGAGGTTTTCTGCAGTGAGACTGGCAGGAGTGATGGGCTAATACCTGTGGCTCCTGACTTAGGGTTGTGGATCTCACATACTTTCTTCTGCAAAAACTCAGTAGGCACATCTGCTCTGTTTCTTCTTGAAAGCCACAATTTGTATTATTGTTTTACTGTATCTTTTGTTAGGAAGTTTTGTCAGTGAAAAGATCCTTCCTGTTGGGATTTGTTACTTGCCAAGTGAAATAAGAACTTGGATTATCTTGTTTTATCCTCTTTACTGTCTTCACAGGCTGCCTCCCTATATTTGCTTTCCAAATATATTGAGGAAGCACAAAGGGGTCATCATTTCTGTTTGCTTTCCTAGCTGAGAGTATAAATCTCAATAAATATTTCTGGAAATATAAAAATTGCAATTTCACTACTAACTGCATTACTGCTGTCTTTCTCCTTTTTAAAATACTGTGTGTTAATCTAATGATGAAGGGTTTTTTTCATCTTGGCTTCTTCATTGTTTGAAAGATAAGTTTGTTTTCATGACTTAGAATACTAATAGACTATACAGGAAAAGATTAATTATGTCTAAGGGCTTGGAGGATGCCTCTTCCAAAATACCTTTGTACTTTAAAAATATCTTAATATTAGTTAATATTCAGTAACTGAATTTCTAACGGTGTTTGTCCATAATGTTTACTGAAAATGCCCTGTGGAAAACTGGTAATGAGTCAAAATGGGGAAAGCTGCATGACACTAACTAGCCCATTTTTTTTACTATTAATACAATTTCAAATTTTGGACTATAGGAAATACGAGGGCTGGTAGAAAGTCACATCCTTAAGATTCTCATCCTGAAGTCCACAAGCTTCAGCTTCTGTTTCTTGAAATCATGGGACCTTTTTAGTTTAAGGGATTTATTCCAGAGAGGAGAAGGAAAGGGAGTTCTTGTTCTCCTTTGGGAGAGACACTTTTCTCCATTTCCTGTTCATGTGTGCCTTACCTGTCTGCATTCCATTTTGGGTCTCATACTCGTTACCTCCATAAAGCCTCTGGGGCTCTATCAGCCCAACAACTTCAGGTTAAGGTTTATTGTTAAGAAGTGAAATGAAATAGGCAAAGGTTGGTCCTAACTTACACGATGTATGCTTTAACTTTGCTGTGAGCAGGTAGAATGTAGTAATGAATGGATTTGGCTTCTCCCATTTATCACTTAGAAACTCAATATGTAATATTATTTTCTCATTGTAACATAATAAGAGTAACTGTAATGAGATAAAAGTGCAGTTGTGGCCTTTGAGATTTATTTCATGAAAATAAATGTGTCACTATCAAATTCATCAGATTAAAGGAAATCCAATGTTCCAGGAAAATTCACTGATATTATTACCGGCAACACACAGACCACTTTCAGTTTGATTTCAGAGCAGTTTTATCTGTGATTGAATTTTGCAGAAATGAGGACCACACACACTCTATTAGTAGATATTACTAGGGTTTGGCAAACTCGAAGCTTGTACTTGAGCCAAAGAATGACTCTCTGTGCACAGTTCTACAGTCACATCTTTGAGATACCTTACATCGCCACAAAACTTCAGATGTTTTATTTTAGTCTATCCGAAGTGGCCTTAGATCTAGAGAATTTCCTTTTTAGGCTATGGATAAATTGGTAGTGATCTAACCTCACTGACTTTCAGTCCTACAGAGTAATAGAAAAACTTTAGATGAGAAGTAACAGGTGTTGGTTGTTGCTGGGTTCAACTATCAGAGGGTGACTTGATTGCTTGCAGTGGAGCTACAAGTTGTGTTTTGAATATCTTGGTTTGTAATTGTAAAGTCATGAGGGTTTTCCTGTGAAAAGGTTCTTGTAACAGCTACTCATAATCTGAATAATTTTCTTTCAAATGTGAGATATCCTTAGTAGAAAATTTCTATTGTGTGTCGCATAATCAGGTTGAATTGCTAATACTGCCTCAATGCTGCTGCTTCATTGGATCTCCTTTATATATTTGGTTTGCTGGAAGTTCAAGCGCATAAACCCACAAAGTTATTGCAGTGTGGCTACCAGCAGAGCTGCAGTTCTACTTTCATGTTGACAAGGTTATCTGCAGGAGAGCAAGACACATTTTCTTTGACCATATGTCATGTCCATTCATCATATGGTCATTGTATACGAGCTGTCCAATTTGTGCTTTCTGGTAACGGTCTAGACAGCATTTGTAGAGTAAAAGTGTGAGCATTTGTGATCTGAAATCTACTTCTAAAACCTACTTAGTGCCATTGTGATGGATGGTGCACTTTACTACTTCTCTGTAATTCATTGGTCCCTGAAAGGTGACACTGTTTACCCATCACAGTGACAGAGAGGGCAGCCTACAGTTCTGGGGAGAGCTGTCTGGTGAGTTTTGAAATAGATATTGCAGCAGTTATGTAAATAATATGTCATAGACTAGGTCAGTCTCAGGCAAGAGTGACATACGTGAAATGTATTTTTATTAAAACGTAAATATCAGCTACCTGTTATAGAGTATAAACCTTTTGTCTGCTTTATGAAAACAGGAAAGCCATTCTGTCCAGCAGAGTACAGATGTAAAGGGATATTACATTTCATCAAATGTGTGCACTAAAGCAAAATGCATTGTCAAACAGTGTTCAGTCAGTCCCTGAGTGTGGCGAGGTGAATCTGAATGTGCTGCTCCCTGTCTTCACCATGTGTGGTGACCTGAGAGCAGCGACCATGTGTGCTGTCACCGGCCGAGCAGTGGAGGGATGAGCTGGGGAGCTGTTGGTGAGAGCCAAGGAGAGGCATGTGTGAACCCCCAGAGGTCCAGCATCCTCCTTCTGGCGTCGTATCAGTCAGTGGTGTCAGTGTGGGTGCATATTGTAGCCCATCTGTTAACGCACGCGGCAGCCATCCCTCGAGCATGGTGAAGTGTGAGTAAGGACACAGCTTGGCTGGAAGCCCAGCAGAAGGCTGGGGTGGTACTCGGGTCATCCCAGCATTTGGTTCAAAGCAGGCCCACTCAGTACAGAGAACTGCAGGGAGAACGAAGAGTTCGGGTTTGGTTTCACATGATTAGTCTGCTCTGTTACCTGTTTCTCTAGCAATTGTAAAGAGAAGATCTTAGCAGATGTAATAGTTGATGCGTTGGGACATTCAAGGCCAGACTGTTTAAAGCAAAATGGAGATTGTATTTACTTTGTATTCCCTGATTTTCTGCAGTTGTCTATGTGACCTGAAGCTTTCTGCATCATCCTTTCACCTTACATTTATTCACTGTTTTCTTTGTGTCAGGGAACTTTTGGTAATCCTAAATATGCTTTAATACTTCTAACAGGGATACTTAGTGTCCTCCTTTATAAAGCATTGCATCAGGCTACACTACATTCCTGTCTGTCCAGGAATAACTGGTTACTGAATGCACCTTATCCTTGTTGATTCCTTTGCTGTGCCTCCATCCTTTCCTTTTTTCATCGTGGACACTAAGCAAATCCAGCAAACATCACTTTTATTTTTCCTGTATATCATGCTATGGAAGGACTGTGGTTGTTTGGGAACTAGGGGAGGATGCAAGAACAGCAAAGCACTGGCATGTTCTTGAAATGAGAATGCATATGCAGGCAGGGAATCAGTGGTTTCATGGGCAGAAATGAATCACCCCCATCTCCAAGGCAGTTCTCCCAACACCCAACAATGCTTGGACTTCTCTGCTATGTCACTTCACTTCCCTGCCGTCGTCCGTATTCCCATTTGAGGTGTCTGCTGGTTTTAGGCCTTTAAACTCCCAGCTCAGCCACTGACATCTTTGATTAGTTTTGGAGGGAGCAGACAAGTGAGAATGCCTACTCTTTGCCTCTGTCTACAATGTGCAGAAAAGATTCTCTACATTTGCTGATAGCGTATCAGACTGCTCTGGTTCATTTGTTTTGGTGACACTTTCTCAGCTAAATGAGAATGCACCGCAGAGATTAATGCAACCTGAAGCAACACCAGAAGTACAAACCCATCTGTTAAGCTCACTCAGTGATCTTCAGTCTTGGCAAGGTGTGAATAAGAGAAGCAGGACTCTGATTACTGTCAGATCCCCTTTTGCAAGGAAGGGGGACTTGCTCACTTCTTATCAGATACCACATTTTCTTACGACTATGCTCTCTTCTCTCTCCCCATCCATCCCCTTCTTTCCCTGGTCCTTCTCTCTGCAGGGAGACTCCTCTACTGCCTGTTCCTCTAATCTTTCCCACTCATTGCAGGCTCCCCACTTGTGTGCCCTACAGTCCTCTCTCCTCTCCACAGGGTCTTCATGGTGCTGCAGCACAGTTTCCTTGCAGTACTTGCAGGTCTCTGTATGTCTAGCTCTGCATTAAAAGGTTACGAGCTCCTCTGGAAGTCCTTGACCCGACAGCTTGCTTTCATTTGATTTGGTTTGTTTGTGCTGGAAACGTGATTAGTGTGCCCTTTTTGTCTTTTATCTTCCCTCTAGCTAATCAGTGGTAATTTTCTTAACAATATTTCTAAATTAAGATTGGTGTCAGCGGGTTGGTTTTAGAAAAATTTAAAATCTTCCTAGGTAATTTTTATCCCTAGGCAAAATTTTCAAATGAGTCTCTACAACATTCTCACTTGCATATCTTGAATTCCAAAGGCAGAGAGTGCATATAATTCAGATTAAATAATCACAGC